GGAGAGGCTTGTCAAAGAATACTTACTACGAGCCAGAAGTGACTGAATAATGAATACTAGCGCTAATGAGTGAAGTTAGCGGGCCAGGAGTTGGTCGATAATACTCACTAAGAGCCAGAAGTGGCTAAATAAGGAATACTAGCACTAATGAGTGAAGTTAGCAGGCCAGAAGTTGGTCGATAATACTCATTAAGAGCCAGAAGTGGCTGAATAAAGAATACTAGCGCTAATGAGTGAAGTTAGCGAGCCAGGAGTTGGTCGATAATACTCACTAAGAGCTAGAAGTGGCTAAATAAAGAATACTAGAGCTAATGAGTGAAGTTAGTCGAGCTAATGAGTGAAGTTAGACAACCAAGAGTTGTTGATAATACTCGGGGAACCAGAAGTGGTTTAAGAATATTAGTGTTGACGAGTGAAGTTGACGAACCAGGATTGGTTGATAATACTCAGGACCAAGAGTGGTTTAGAATACTCACTGCTAGCCTAAAGAGGCTAAATAAAGAAAACTAGCGCCAATGAGTGAAGTTGGCGAACTAGGAGTGGTTGATAATACTTGGGACTAGTAGTGGTCGAGAATACTCACTACAAGCTTGAAGAGACTGAATAAAGAATACTTGTACTTCATCGAACATCTAGTGGAACCCTTCAATTGAAGGAGACTGGACGTAGCTTAGTCTGAGCGAACCAGTATAAAACACTTTGCACTTCTTATCTATTTATCAAACGCAGACACAAATTTTGTTTAGCTAATTTATTATACTAAAAGTTTCGTCTATCGTCTATTTTTCAATGCAACTATCTTCAGATGGAAAATGCACGGACTTAACTTATTATTTTAAGAAACATTTTCCTTGAAGCAGACGATAAACTCTCAGACGCAAAACCTTTTGCTAAGCAAATCTTGCACAGTCTTCAAATGCTTGAAATCATATTTTTATTAGATAAACAAGAGTCCTTTGCAAAAATGTTTTAAAATTCCTTTGTTTACACACACATATTCAACTCCCCTTCTATGTGTTTTTCATCTAACTTCAATTGGTATCAGAGCTTGACCCCTTGGGTTGGGCAATTAACATTGCAGGGTAGAATACGATCCATGGAGGAACGAAGGACAAACGTGAAGCTGAAAAACAAGGAGGAAGAATAACTGGTACAGGTAAAACAGGTATAAAAGCATCTACTTCAATGAAGCATGTTCTATATGTTATAAGAGTAGATCACATCAGATAGGCTAGGATATTCATATACATTCACCATCTAGTTTAGTTTGAAACACACTAGGAACACAAATGCAGTAAACCACTGTGTCTGGATATCCCTTAGATTGCAGTAAGAAATTACTATGTCTAAAAATCTTCATCTGATGAAGTGTCTAGGAAACTTGCCTCGCGTCTGAATATTCAGTCCATCGTCTGAAAATTCAGTTTGACATATTCCAAAATAAATGACCTTCATCATTTAACGCAGTGCAGACAAACATTCTCCGCATTTATAGGTTAAAACATTGAAGTTAATAAATAACAACACTGTTGTTTGGGATTTTTCATTAGAAAAGACAGATCATTTACCCAATGCCTGCATTTAAGTATAAAACCTTTGAGCCAATGAATAACCAAACCATCGTTTGGGGTTTTCATTGGAAAAGACAGATCTTTTAACCCAAATTTAATGCAGCCGCATTCCACTCTGCATGAGGAAGGCATAAGGATGACACGTTAGGCAAATAATAATAATAATAATAAAAGCATAAATATTTTCCTTTTGTTTCAAAATCCTATATCTTCCCTCGCACTTAATATTCTACTCTACACGCTTTGAACTCTCAAGACCTTAAATTCTTAAACCTTCTTTATGAACTCCATGACCCTAATCTCACTCAAACCTTCCTCATCCACTACAATGGTCGAATAAGCCAAAATTTCCGCACTCGTGATCATCCTTGTTGAAATGCGCAAAGCCATTGACTGCGTTCATACCTTCTCCATGGAGGTAAAGCCAGTGCTGTACCTGGAGCATCACTCCAACATAAGCCAGATGAAGGAATGGAGAATAACCATCTATGAGGGTTTGGTTGACTGTGGAATCCTCAGGTATTTCAACATCAAGGAGGTTGTTTACCCTATCCCGGTGAAGATGTTCTACGACTCCTTAAAAGTTTCTCAAGGATCTTTCGAGGGAAATGTGCTCGGTATAACTATCAAACCCATAGAGAAAACACTAGTTTGCAGTTGTAGAAGAGGCACAACTCGAAACCCATGTTGAAAACAATTTTTCTGGAGTCGGTGCTGAAGAAGCAAAAGAGGAATGGGCATTAGCGAAGAAGAAGAGAGCCAAGCAGTACACTAAGGAATACGACGAGCTGGAGAAGGAACTGATTAGGTTGAAACGTGAAGCCAAGTTGAAATTTATATTTTATATGGATCCTAGGGCTAAGCTCTTGTTTACTATTCGCATCGATGGTATTTATGCGATGCACCCCAAGATAAGGAAGATCTTGCTGCTGTTGCGATTAAGGCAGATATTCAATGGTGTATTTCTCAAAGCCAACAAAGCCACAGTGAATATGCACTGCAGAGCTGAGCCTTATGTGACTTATGGATACCCTAATCTGAAGAGCGTTCAATTCACAAAAAAAAGGAATGCGATGAAGAGAAATAGAGTTGGTCTGTGTTCAAAGACACATCCATTCATCCTTGGACTGAAACAGAAGTTTCCTCCCTCATTTTCAAAAGAGCTTGAAGATCAGTCTAGACATCCTTCGTCTGAGTACTATCTTCTCAAGCATTTCCCAGCACTCACTGTCACTCTCCCTCACGACCAAACAGTTGAAGCCTTCTCTCCAACCAGAAACCAAGCCATCCATCTTAACCATCCGTCTTAATAATCACCTTGGGGAAGAAAGAAAATAGGGATAACCGAGTTAGGGAAAAAAAGTCTATTTTTTTTTGTTTGTTTTGACTGTACAGACTCTTCATGTTGTACATATTTCTAATTCAGGTCAATACAATATACAATTTTTTCCTGTTAATTTTTCTGGTATCAGACTACTCTTGGAAACTCATCTATTTCATTTTGATGACTACATAGGGAGAAAATAATTGGACGTATTCTGTATTTACTTGATTGGATAGATTCTTCATTAAATTCAATATAATATACATGTTTCATTCAAAGTCATTATTTTAATATCCATGCTCTGATAATGTTATAATTTCGTCGGGTATCTCGCTTGTCATGATATTTACCCTGGTATAAAATCTCTCTTAGAGATTCTCGCTCTGCTTTGATATTTATCCTAGTATGTATTTCTTTTTGATGATTATAAAGGGGGAGAAATAGAAAAGAAGTTGATCAAATATAAATATAACATATGAATCAAACACGACAAAGAAATAATCGAGTGAGGGGGAGAGCATATACTAAGGGGGAGAGCTATAGTACATTAATAAACCTACGAACTTTCTATGAACTACGAAGTACTCTAACTTAGTTTTATCTGAAACAATTTGATCAATTATATATGTCATCATTAATAAGGGGGAGATTGTTAAGTCAGACAAAGCAATTCCCAACAAGATTTTGAATGATAAATATAATAGATGTTGTTATTTCTAACAAGTGTGCTAGTGTTTTAGAAAAACATAAGTACAGGCAAGTTGAAGAATAAAGTATGTGCGTATCCCACTTCCTACATCACAACCAATATAAAGGGTAAAAGCTTCAAGCATCAGATGGAAAGTACAGACATCAAATGAGGCCTAATGGTCTAGCACAAGAAGGAGACTAATCAAACTTCATACGATACATCCTGAGTCAGACGAAAAGATAACACAACACATACAAGACAAATCATACTACCAGTTGTAGGTCAACCAAGTATCAGACAATGGAAAATACAAGACGAAGAAACATTCCAGATGGAATTAAAGTCTTCCATCTTCACGAATAAACAGATTAAAGGAAAAATCAAATCAGACTAAAGGAAAGGTCAACCCAAATGAAAGAAAAGTCAAAGTCTATCTCTTAGACGGAGACTCAAAATCTAGACCCAGATGAAGAATATTGAAAAGCATCTGAGGTCCACTATTCACAACGAGGAATATAATATATCATATATACTCATAGAAGAGCACACGAAGTCTTTAATATTGCGAAAAGAAAGAAGAAAAATAGACAAGCGTGAATCCATAAGTCAAAACAAAGCATACCACGAGTATCAAACAAAGCAAGTCAAATGATAGATAGAGTAATGTAGACACCTAATTTCGTCCGGGGGGCACACAAACAAGAAAATGGGCCTACATCATGAAGGAAAGGAGCTCCCGAAGCAGGCAAATAACAAGACAGGATATCAGAAGGCCTAAAGGTCAAATAAGGTTGTTTTAGTAGCCCGGAACAGGCTGTTCCAGAATCGGAACGGGCCGTTCCAATATCAGAACGGGTTGTACTAACGTGGCTAAAACACCTAAAAATGCAATACCGGAATGGGTCGTTCCAATACCGGAACAGGCCGTTCCATTTTCGAACGGCCCGTTCCAGAACCCAAAATACCCCTATAACTTTACTAAATTACAAAAATGCCATTCAAATAATAATAAAAAAAATTGAGCCTTCTTGAAGTTGTCCCAATTCAAGTGCACCCCCCATCAATAATACTCCGAAGTGCTCCTTTCCACCAAAAATGAGCATTAGCAGTCAACATGAAGGTGGCCAACTTCACCTTCTGAGCGAGGGGACAATCCATAACATTGAAGATCTTCTCAATCTCCGTTAGCCAAATCATAGCAGCATCTGGGTCATATCCTCCTTTAAAGGTAGGTGGGTGATTTCGTTGAAATTGCTCCAAGCAGTTAGGAGTAACTTCAGTCCTAATATTATTATTCATAGCTTGTGTTAATGCTTGAAGAGCATCAGCAATTGCACGATCATTTCTACCAACCATAGTCTAAGAAAATAATACAATTAATAAACATAATCATTCATCACACTAGCATATCACTCAAGTTTCACAATCAATTCAATTCATCATTCATCTACCAAATAAGCTTAGTAAACTCATAACTCATGGTCGATTGGATCGACCTGCTCTGATACCACTAATTGTGACACCCTCTACCCCATCATTAATATACAATAAATGTAAACAATAATTTTTTTTTCTTTTTGAGTAAATAAAGTCTTTCATAGTTGACAATTTCTTTTATGGATAAAATAATTGTCGCAAATATCATAAGGTAGAAGATTCACATTTGTAACTCATAAGTCATGTAAGTATCCAAATTCAAGAAATCATATAAAAGAAAATATAGATTAATTCTAGCAAAGGTGGCAGTGCCGCCTAGTTAGGAATTAATTTATAACTTTCAAAATCATGTAATAAAAATAATATGACAAAGATACATATTTTGGTCTTTTATCAAGAACGTTCAAAATTACAGAATAAAAGAAAACTAAGGCTTTTAAGACAATAATATCCCAAACTAAGCCTAGCTATGCCCGATGTCACATCTTATCAAAGCACGCCCAACTGAAGTCTTATGCCTCATCACCAACATCCTCATGATGATGATCATCTGCAACATAATTTAAAACATATACAAGAATAACAAGGGAGTGAGAAACATCTCACTCAGTTTCAGGTGTAGAAATAAAGGTTAGATAGCACACACACGCACAACAAATATAGGATACATGTAAATAATACACATAAATAATCAATATCACATATATACTCATTTATCATGCTATGATGTCATGGACTCGACTCATAAATGCATGCATGTGGCGCCATAAGAAAGTTTCACAATTGATCACTGGTGACCCTAAGGCACACCTGGTTACATTATTGGTGACCCTAAAGTACACCTTGTTAGCATGTTACTACTGTGGGTGACCTTAAGGTACACCTTATTAGCATATTACAATTGTCGGTGACCCTAAGGTACACCTTATTAGCATGTTACAACTATCGGTGACCCTAAGGTACACCTTGTTAGCATGTTACAACTGTCGATGACTCTAAGGTACACCTTGTTAGCATGTTACAACTGTCGGTGACTCTAAGATACACCTTGTTAGCATGTTACAACTGTCAGTGACTCTAAGGTACACCTTGTTAGCATCACCGGTATGCGGCCTCAGTGGCACACTTGGAGTAATATCATGTCACACATTCATTATTTCATTAACTCAAAATTTGACTTATTACAAAATTTCATTTAGTACATCATGTCATCATTTTTCATAGTCTCATAATCATAGCTTGTCTCAATAGTCCATTCTTATGTCTCATGTCATTTGTGCATATTTCACATGGTCATGTCATAAATACTCCTCATAAGGTCCGCACAGAAATTCACAAAGAACATTCTTATTCATATTAAAACTTATTCATTTTTAACATTAATTTCATATTTATTATTACTTCCAATAAGGAACAAGGTAGAGCAAACAGAAAGTAAAACAGAACAACAGGCAAGGGATTGGGGGCCAATCCGACAATCAAACTATCCAACAATTATTCCCACACCCCCGAGCGAGGTTTCTCACTCCCCCCTTACCTGGATAAGCAGGAGTTGAAACTTGGGCAGGACCTCCTCCTCTGGATTCCCTCTTTCTTTCCTTCTCTTTCTTTCTCTCTTTCTCTCTTTCTCTCTCTAAGATTTTCACTTCTCACTCAGTATATTTTTTTTTCACCCCCCCTTGCCCCTATTTATAGGCCTTCTGACGTACTCGGAACGGCCCATTCCAGAGCCTTCAAATATACGTAAAATTTTTAACTGGAACAGCCCGTTCTAAAATCGGAACGGCCCGTTTACTGGAACGCCCCTTTTCTAACTAACCTTTTTAGGCATTTTTAGTATTCCGGAACGGCCCGTTTCTCTTTGGGAACGGCCCGTTCTGGAGAAATCAAAATGAGTCATTTTACTACATTGGAACGGCTCGTTCCACATTTGGAACG